TCATAACTCCATAATGGAGCGTCGTATCCAAAAATGTTTTCCAGCAAAATGTTCTTAAAAGACTAGTCTACAGCACTATGATTGAAAACAAATTGAGAAATGTTTTTGACCTCTGAAATCAAGATGGAAAAAGAAAAGCCTATCTAAGTAGAGTATTAAAACAGGCATATGCATTACAGTGCAATAGCATAGAACTTTCGTGTTGTTACTGTTCCAGGTACCAATAATATACAGATTTCTCTTATTATAAAGTTATGTTTTATAAAGAAGTATAGTATAGTAAATCATGTTTTTAACACAGGAAACTCTCATATGGTAACTAAAACAATGCTAGTCCAGAGTATTACAGTACTAGTACTACTGCACTATAATTTATATACCTATTTTAATACACTATTTAGATAGGCTTTTCTTTTTCCATCTTGATTTCAGAGGTCAAAAACATTTTTCAATTTTTTTTTCTCAATCATATAGTTTTGTAGACTAGTCTTTTAAGAACATTTTGCTGGAAAAATTCTTTGGATACGACGCCTCGTTATGGAGTTATGATTTTTTAAATAACATGATGTCAGAAAATCAGCCCAAAAGCTTATCTCATTTCTGTTGGTTACGCACCGCTGATTCGCAATGTTTGTCATCACTTCACGATGTCTACCGATTCGTGAAAAAGGCCTATGCTAAGCTACAATGCCTTAAAAACACTCCCCGTGAACCATACCAGGGATTTTTTATACCGGGCCGTCGAGAGCAAATGCCCCCTCCCCCCTCCCCCCACGCTGGCGCCGCCACTGGCGTAGGCCTCTAGGCCTCTGGCCTAGGCGGCGGAGGCTAGGCCTAGGCCCTGACCAGCCAAACATGAGTTTCCTATATGCCGCACTGCAATGTCGGCCTATAACTGTAGCTTAGAAAATTCATGAAAATCGTAAAATTTACCATACTCTTGCTTGCTTTTTTTTTTTTTAATATAATTTTTAGGGTCATTCTTCGCTAGTGTGCCATTTGAGAGGTTTAGAATCATGAAAAAAAGTTTCAAATTTGTAATGTCACATTATGCCATGTAACAACTATAATAAACATTCGGACCGATAATTAGGGCATTTTAAACGTTTATTTAAGCATTCAATTTTCAGTGCCGTAACATAGCAAATATTTCAAGAATCATCTCCATCACACATTTTTTTTGACGGAGATGATGATATACACATAGATGTGAATTTTAGCCTAAATTTGAAAGATAAATTGTATTATTTAAATATAGGATAATACACAATGAACAAACAGGTTTCGAACAACGTACCGTAAGTCGTATCAATTACCATTTTTATTTTATAGCCGTTTTTGAGAAAAGAAAACATCGAGAAATCACCTCCATCACACTTTTTGTGATGGAGATGATGTCTGATATACTCATAATGTGAATCCTAGTAAATTAAAAAGATAGATTGTATTATTTAAATATAGGATAATAAACATTGAGCAAAAAGGTTTCTAACAACATAAACCAGATCAATTATCATTTTTATTTTATATTCGTTTTTGAGGATAGAAAATATCAAGAAGTCATCTCCATCACAGTAAAATTGTGATGGAGATGACTGTGACGAGGATGAGGAATTAAACTTTTTAGATCATATAATGCCATATGCAGTGTGTTACAGGGTGAATGTCATGTGCACTTTGAAAATGACACAGTTCTGATCGTATAGGCCTATATAATTATTTTTTTCTAAAAAATTAATAAATAAAGCATATTCTGAAGCGTTCGGAGATGATGCTGAATAAAGGTACTTTTCTGGTTGTATTAGAATTGCAATTAACAAAAAGCAAAAAGTATGTCTATGCAGATGACATATGCTTGGCAACTACAGCTAAGACACTCAATGGACTATCACACACTCTTACAGAAGATATGAAAGCACTTTATGCATACTTCCACAAGTGGCACTTAATTTTAAGCACTAAGAAGACTTTTGCCTCTCAGCCTTTCATCTAAATAACAGACAAGCAAACCACACCCTAAAAATATCAGTTTTGTGCTCCAGTTTGGAGTGCAAGTTGGCACACACCAAAGTTGAACGTAGAGCTCAATGCCGCCATTAGGTTGGTAAGTGGAACTCTGATATCAACTCCTACCAGTTTTATCAAACATTATTCCACCCCACATCCGCCGGGAAGTACTTACTGCCAAGATAGCCTGGAGAGCCTCAACCGACAATAAACACCCTCTACACAAATCCATAACCAGTGAGCCTCAACTGAATCGCCTATCGTCCCGGTCCTCTTTTTCTCATAGGGCCCGTCCTTACTTGGCAGGTGAACCACCTACTACCAAAGCACGTCGAAAGATTGTTGCGGAACAGATCGCCAAACAGAAATGGATCACAGAAAGGGAAAGTGGAGAAAACAATATCAAGGACCTTCGGGTTCCTACAGACATCCCACCAGGCTTTAACCTCCCTCGAAATAGTTGGTGCAGACTGAACAGACTGATTACTGGCCATGGTCGCACAGCACACATGCTACATAAGTGGAACATGAAGCCAACACCGGCTTGTGATTGTGGGGCTAGTAACCAGACAGCCAAACACATTGTGGAAGAGTGCACAAGGAGAAAACTCAATGGTTGAATTGCCCGTCTAGCAGAATGTGACCTTGTAGCGAGACAGTGGTTATTGGACCTGGATGTTGATGTATGATTTGCAATGCATACGCGAGAAGAAGTGCATACATATTCATACAAAACCACGTATCCACGTATACATGACCTACATTTTTCAAAATTAAAAAAATAGATATAAAGAATATTATATTCAAATTTTAGGTCTAAGAGTGCAATTTTCGGCCATCTAGAGGTGCCATGATCACAAATTTTCTTACATTAACCACAACCATGGTGAGGCTGAGGTGGTACACCACCTCCATCTGTGAAAGTACCTCCCCGGGTCCCTCTTTTTTGAATTCTGGATCCGCAATTGATACATAAAACATACACAAACACCCACCGATCATATGAAACACATAAACAAAGCCTGAAACACACAAATACACGTAAAAAGTAAATCAAATCTAGTGTACAAGTCATACAAACTAATATAGGACTGAAGTTGAAATTTGTTTTTATCTTATTTCTCTTTTTCCATGCCCATGTAGCATACCTTTTACATTTTCTTCAATTTCTGGTTGAAGATCTAGTAAAGATATTTCTAGGCAAGGGCTTTCCTTTAAAATTCAGTTATCCGAAAGAGAAGATTTTTATCAAGGCTAATTCTCCAATCAGTACAAGCTTGTTATTTAAGTTAATTTAAAATAGAGTTGGTCCAATTTTCGATTGGTTAATCAATGGTATCACAAATAATGTATAAACAAAAACTCTGATTCACATTTTGATTTAAAAAAAACATGGGAAACACATTTAATAAATTTAAAAAGAAATTTATCAAAGTTACAATCCAATTGCTGTAAAGCCTTAAGAGTTTTGGACAGCGACGTGATTCCATATGTATATAACGGTTAAAATATTTTATGCGTGAAATATCGTGCACAACACTAATTTGTAACCAACCAAGTTCACCTTACAAAGTTGAACGTGGGATATTTCTAGTTGCTCTGAGAATGTAACGTGCCATCTAATTTATCTAGTTTATCAATATCAGACGTATTTAGAGAACACAAGACAACAGATCAATAATTAATTGAGGAGACATGTACGGTGTAATTTTCTCTGTAAAATAAATTATAGTATATGCTATTAAGGTTTACAGTCATCAATTAAATATTTAACATAAGAAATAAGTCTATTGCACTTTTCAGTTTCCTGGATATTAACTCCAAGGTAGTCATATTATGTCTCCGCTTCAACAATAAATCCATCACCTAACTTTCATTGTTTTTCTTTATCAAGTCTTCTTCCAAAAATGTGAATATGTGATTTGCCTAAATTAAAATTCTATGTTTTAGCAAATAATGTTGCAAGATCCAGCATCCTCGCTATTTCATGCTCATTGTTTGCTAGTAAAACAATATTGTCAGCCCAGAATAACCCCCTTACCCATGTGTCATTCACTCTGATACCAAGATTATTCAAAACAAAGATAGTCTTAACTTCATTAATAAAAATGTTAAACAAGATTGGAGATAAGACACAGCCTTGTTTTGAAAACTTTTGTATTTGTATCTCCAAATCTAACTGTACCATTTACCTCTTCATGACGCCTATCAATCATTCTCCAAAATTTCCCCCTAATACTCGATGACCAAAGGGCTTTATATAGGCCATTCTGCCAAACGCTGTCAACTGTTTTTTGCAAGTCCAGAGAGGCCATATATAAGCATTGTGTTTGTTTTCATTTAGCTGGCAAGTCGTCACACCTTAATGGTACAATTGTGGTCATCACACCTATATGTTGCACGAAAGCCACATTAGACTTCCGAAAGGTTATTAAAGGATATAATACAACGACAAATTTTAGAAATGCAAAAAGTAAGAGATATGCCTCTAAAATTATCCAAGTCTCTAGCTACCTTTCTTGTGAATAAGAATTATAATGCATCTATACCAGTCTTTAAGAATTTCTTCAAGTTCGATATTCTTTGTTAAAAAGAAAAAGTAAGCTTTTGGTAAAGCCTTTTGTAATACAGGACCTCAGTTTTTAAGTAGTTCATTAGTTACTGTCTAACCAAGGCCTTGTTTTTGCAAGAGATATTGCCTCTGGCCTCTTAGACAATACCACTATTAATAAAAATGATACATAAGAAGTTTTCGTTAAACTGATGATAATATATTCATAAAAAAGGTTATCTCTAATATGTTTTATAAACTGAATTTTTATTTTTGAATTACAATCATTTAAATCTATATTGGCTTACCAAGATTTCACAAATAATTATCAAAACTTTAATTTTTCCTTATCGGAAGTGATTTAGTGTTTTCCTCAGAACCGGGAATTTTCATGCATTTACAATCCTTGTTGCATACATACCCCATTACTATCCCTAATGCTATTCAAAGCCCTTTATAGGATGGCCCTCCTTTATTTGCAATTTTAATTTATTTATTCGTATTTTTAATAGAAAAACAAATGCAAATGTATTTTCACTCTTCAAAGCGCAATGCATAAAAAACAACAAAACTTGGAATTAATGCAAAGGCTTGTAAGGCTGTGCTTGTCTGGAAAGAAAGTAACAAATCCATGTCACCGTTGAAAAATCCTGAAAAAAATCAAAATATATATAAATAATGTGCCTACTAAATGATATAATGATGATGATGATGATTATAATGATTGTGATGATCACTACAACACAGCCACTAGCAGAATTAGGACATCAGAATATTTACGTTTATATATAACATACCCACACCACCCCCCACACACACATACATGCATGCAGACATACATACATCATACATACATACACACACATACATATACATGCATGCATACACGCATACACACATAGATATATATATATATATATATATATATATATCTCACATAGAATGTGTTTCTCATCGCAAGCCTACAAAAACTAAAATTTGCAAGAGATCGACTGATGTAACTTTTTCTTAACTGTTTTGCTCAAAAACAGACAGAAAAAAAAGCAATCTTACCAAGCAATCCGGCTGAAAAATAACCTAAGCCTGCAAATGATATTCCCCAGGCAGTGGCGATACCAGCGTACTCTGTATCCACCGATTTTATTGTTAGGAAGAGTAATAAGCTGGCCTGCATTCCATATGCTGCTCCATGTGTAAATGACGTTATAGCCAGAGCAGTATACTGATTCGAGAATATGAAAATTGTAAGTACTATGACATCGATGATTTGTGTAAACACCAACAGCTTGACAGATGTCCCGACTGTCTGTGGAACAATACACTGTACAAATCTAGCAATAATACATCCCATTCCTACAAGCGATTTCAGGAAGCTGGCATTAATCGGCTCAATACTGATGCTGATGGCGTATGGTATCAAACTCAAGTAAAATACAACACCTGTAAAACAAACGCAAAAGGCAACAATAAACAACCCAATTAACTTAATATCTCTCAACACGTGAAACTGAAGCCTTTCTCCAATCTTTTCCAGGAATGTCTTATCTTCTTCATTTATTCCAATTCCTGTGTAAGTGACGTCTTGTTTACGGCCAATGCTGGGATCAAGAGCCGTCGCTGTCACTAATCCGTGCAAGTGTATTGCTCCTGTCACAATTAAAGCCCCTCTCCAACCATAGTTTTCTAACCAGACCTAAAAAAATAAAACAAAAAGATAATTGTGGTGTTGGATGCCGAGTGGATAAGGCAGCGGCGACGCAACGTACAACCATAATATCGGCGCTGATTCGAGGTTTCCTATGGTTCTGGTGGTGGAACAGGTATTCTCGGATAAGAACTGTAAACCGTAGGTAGGCCCAGTGTACACATTTTGGCTCATGTGAACTATAAGGAACCCAGTACATCTTTTGAGACGAGTAGTGGTTTACCCCGGTTACTCCAGCTCCTGTTGTGAACAGACGAGAGTAGCTGGTACCAGTTTACCGGTTGGCTCGAAATTTGTCTTATCAACAACATGGCAAAAGTGAAATTTGTGTTGATTGATCCGATAGGCTATACATATATCACAAAACCTCGAATTGAAGCCCAATGGGCTTAATCTCGAAATGAAGCCCATCTCGAGATAGCATAGACTTATTTTTGTGATAGTACAGTACATACACTGTACATGAATTTCAAAGAAACAAAATAAATAAAAAACATGCTTGGTTTATACAGTAGTTTAGATGATTTAATGCCGGTTAATACACTCCATAATACATTTTGAAAAAACCCCTTCTTTTCATTGCACAAGTGGCCTCGAAAAGAAGCCCATCTCGAAATTAAGGCAAAAAAAAAAAACAAAAAAAAAAAAACAGGATGAAGCACAGGGCTTCAATTCGAGGTTTTACGGTAATACGTTCAAATCAGTATGAATAAATAGATAATAGATAAACATAAATAAATATAATTTTTTTATAGAATCATGGGTGCCTGGGAGTCTCAGGATCAAGAAGAGACCAATATGACCCACCAGCTGAAAATAAAAGGGGACAGTGCTGCCCTGAAGTCTCCCAATAAACCGATACATAACATTAAAACATAATTATCAATTGTGAATTACCTTCTAAACTGGCTATTAAATTCTGTACATTTATGGAATTATGAACAAAAGGTTGTCTACAGTGTTTAGTGTTTTGATTGAAAGTGGTTAGTCTACCATTGGTGTTTCCTTGAAACCAAATTTATAAATTCTCATTTAAAAAAGGCTTTGAGAGCAGCAACAGTAATAGTAGTAGTAGCAGCAACAGGAGCAGCAACACCAGCAGCATTGCAGTAGCAGTATTAGTAGCAGTAGTAGTAGTAGTAGTAGTGGTGATGATGATGATGATGATGGTAGTGGTGGTGGTGGTAGTAGCAGCAGCAGCAGAAGCAGTAGTAGCAGTAGTAGTAGCAGCAGCAGTAGTAGTAGCAGCAGCAGTAGGCCTAGTAGTAGTAGTAGTAGTAGTAGTAGTAGTAGTAGTAGTAGTAGTAGTAGTAGTAGTAGTAGTAGTAATAGTGGTGGTGGTGGCGGCGGTGGTGCAAGCCCGTAGCCAGGGGAGTTCGTTGGGTTCGAACGAAGCCAAATTTTCACGAAGTGCCCTTTCAACAAAGGCTGGCTAGCCTAGAGCCTATCATCATTAAAAAAAAACGTTCTCGATCGTTAGGTCTACCTAGTAACATAAAAAAATAAATAAAAATTGTGCATTTTCAACTGTTACAACATTATTATTTAAATTAATCAGTACGACCGTGTAGGCCTACCCGCCCAAAATAGGGACAGGGCAGGGCAGAAGCAGCAGAGCGTATCGCCGATCGTCCCAAAACGATACAGCTTCCAAAGTGCTATAAGCCATACAATACTTCTTAATTTCTTAAAAAGAATTAAAAAAAAAGAATAAAC